CTGAAATGCCTCTTCTCCATTCTCTGCTTAGCCTTAGAGAAATTCTTCAAGCCCACATTCAAAATATCATCTCTTCTGTGCACCCTGCTCTGCTGTTCCCAGCAGTTTGCCATCCCATGTTCCTTGTACCCAGGGGAATTCATACAGACCTCTATAGTAAAACCTCCCAAATAGAATAATAATTATTAACATATGCCCTTATGACTGGATGGTGAGCATCTTGTCAAGAAATATTTCCTATTTGTCTTTGAGATGCTCAACCCTCTGCATACTGATAGGCACCTAATAAATTTTTATGTAATAATAAATGGATGAAAACTGATATCTTAATTTCACACTTAGTTCAGGCTACTATAACTAAATACCATAGACTGGGTGGCTTAAACAAAAGATATTTATTTATTGCATATTTGGAGGCTGGGAGGACCAGGATCAAGGTATTAACAGATTTGGTTCCTGGTGAGTTCCCTCTGCCTGGCTTGCAGATGGCCACCTTCTTGCTGTGTCCTCACAAGGCAGAGAAGCAGCTCTCAGATCTCACCCTCTCCTTAAAAGGGCTCTAATCCTATCATAGGGGCTCTATACTCGCGCTCTCATCTAAACCTAATTACCTCTCAAAGGCCACTCTGAATACCACCATGGTGCAGATTAGGGCTCCAGCAGAAGAATTTGGTCCCTAACACACACCATATATATTGTCATATTGTATTTCAGTTTATAATACCTCAGTGGGTGGGTCTAGCAAAGGAAGCACTCAGGTCTCGGGTCTCAGGTCCATTTTTACATCCAGACCTTGCCAGGCAGCCAAAATACCTGTTTCTCAAACTCTCCTGAAATGATTTCTGCAGCATTTGCCCCTGTAGTGACTCCCTTTGATTTTAGGAGAGACCCTAAGCCAAGTAATTCCCCGATGCCCGATGGTTGTCCTTAATAAAAGGCTTCAAAGGTAAGGCAATTCCAGCACCTTACCGAGTAAATTAAGAAAACTAATCATGGATATGACATGAATGCCATAAACTTTGCTCTGTGCTTGACAAATGCTATCATATTTATCCCTGCAAATCTGACAGATAGATATTTGTCCTCATTTTATGGCTGAGGAAATGAAGATACCGGAAAGTTTAGCTACTTTTAGTATTGAACCCAAATGTGGTTCCAAAGACAGTAATTTCATGTCTGTTGGGTTAAATTAAATTTGAGAGGAATCACAATGTCATTATCAGCTTTTCCTGCTGCATAAAATTCAACTATTGGAAATTAAAGCTCTATCTCTAAGAGAAATATCTCTGGGAGGCTTAAACTATTGGCATTCACACTTTATTGTGTAAAATCTTAATAAGACCGCTTTACCTCTTAAAAAGCAACTGTAATTTTGAACCCAGTATAAATATGGTAGGATGGTGTTTTTGCTTGTTTGTTTGTTTTAGAAAAGAAAATTAGAGAAGTAATGTTGGAGCTTGAAGTGTTCTTAGGGGAAACCAGGATAGTCAGAGATCTAATGTTGGCAAAGGAGAATATTTGAACCATAGCTGAGGTCCAATAGGTAGATATGAGAAAAATGATGTCTGGTGAGTGTTTTAGTCAATGTTGTTTTGATTACATCTAACAGAAACTTTTCAGAGACCATTTATCTTAAGGAGTAGCTGTTTAAAAAATTATGTTTTCATGGAATTTAAGAGCAGGAAAGCATACCTAGTCTTCAAAAGAAACTCAGTCTAACTAGAATTCTCTCTCTCTCTCTCTCTCTCTCTCTCTCTCACACACACACACACACACACACACACACACACACCTCTGCTACCACTACCTGCTATATTCTTCTGTTTTTCTGTGTCTCTGTGCTTGTGGTAGAAAAATTACATCCCCAGCCAGGAGCAGCATTACCTTCCAGGCTTTCTCACAGATCCAGCAGGGGAAATTAGTTGCTAAGTGAGGACCTTAGTTCTCAAAACATGATTACAGATGGGAAGGACCAGCAACTTCTTTAAAGCAACATTTTAAATAGTCCTATATTCCCCCAAAGAGGAGATGATTTCCATAAAACCCAAGGAAGGACTAAAATGAAAACAACAACAACTCTCAGAAGCTCAACATTTTGAAAGTGGGCTCAGTGTCTTGGAGTTGAGGAGGGCATGAGGATGAATGGCAAGGTCCAGTCTTTTCACAGTTCTACCTTCTCAGGATCTGTCGGCCCTTCTTGGTAAGGAGGTAGAAATTTCATACATTACCTGTCCCTGATTTTTCTGTATAGATGTTTGATAGTAAATATGAAATGACCTTAATTTCTAAGAATTTATCTAAACATATAGAAATATATGCAGCTATCAAGGGTGCTTAATAAAGCATAATAGTGAATAGTGAGAAATTGGAAACAATTTAAACATATAGCAATAAAACACTAGTGAAATAAATTATTGTATATGTGATATAGAATGCTATGCATCCATTAAAATGCCATATTCTCCAAAAATTTAGGAATGTGATATAGTGTTAATTGAAAAAAATCAGGATAAAAGACTATATATAGCATGATATCCGTTTTTTAAACATAGCTGTGGGTATAGTTATAAATAAATGAATAAGAAAGGGCCTGGAAGGAAATATGATATTAATAGAAATTAACTATGTGGTGAGTCTACAGATAATATTTATTTTTGTCTCCATTATCGAATATACTATGGAGAATGCAAACTAATTTTATATTAAGGAAACAAAACCACACATTAATTTAATTGCTTAAGGAAAGAAATAGAAATTGAAGAAAAAATTCTATAATTATGGAAAAATTCTAAGGATTACATGATGATTACTTCTGAAAAGTATTTATAGACTGACCATTTAATGATGAGCTCTCTAATATCCTGTTTTAGAAATCAAAATTAGTACTTGTGTCTCATAAATAAAACATACTCTTGAAGAATATCTGATGACATGGATAACATCCATGAAATTTTATGTAAAAAGCACAGAATCATTAAATAAAACTGAATACACAATATGACCAAATTTTGCAAATCATAGTATATATATAGGTGGCTGTATGCACAGAAAAAAATTTAAAAATTAATTAAGCAACAATTATTTCCGGATAGTAAGATCATGAGTAATTTTTTCTTTGTCATAATCTCCTGCACTTTCTAACTACTTTAAATCTTTGTCCTATATTTTGTGGTGTCCAGGAAAGTCAATCAATAAAATAACTTTAAAAACAACATGAGCTGGGGGGCGTGGCTCAGCGGTTGAGCATTGACCTAGGATCCAGGCGATCGGGGTTCGATTCCCGGTCAGGGCACATGCCCGGGTTGCGGGCTCGATCAATGATTCTCTCATCATTGGTGTTTCTATCTCTCCCTCTCCTTTCCTCTCTCTTTGAAATAAAAAATATATATATTTAAAACAAACAAACAAAAACAACAATAATGAATAACAATTAGGATTTTGCAACAATAACCATTTTATTTGTAGGCACAAATGAGTATCCCATGTGTACATGATGAAATTTAAGAGAAAATAGAGGAATCTGAAGCTTTTATTGCTAATTTTTTATAACTGTAACACTCCAGCTAAGCAAGTTTATAACCACCAATGTTAGTGAAAACTGAGGAAAGATTTACAAATCTTTTTCTAATTAAAGACAATTTCTCACAGTTTTTGACAGAATGGGGTTACACTACGTTTTCAAAAAGCACATTATAAAAGACTTTGCATTTAAAAATAATCCACTTACTATGAATTTCACAGTGATATTAAAAGATATCAATATAATGCCCTTCAGTTTTTTAATTATAGTTGACATACAATGTTATTACAATATTATATTAGTTTTAGGTGTACAACGGTGAATTTGACATTTATATTCTGTATGATGTGATCACTACAATAAGTCTAGTAACCATCTGTCACTGTACAATGTTATTACGATGATATTGACTATTCCCTATGCCGTACATTATATGCCCATGGCTTTTTTTTAATATAACTAGAGGCTTGTACCTCTTATTCCCCTTCACCTTTTTCATCATCCTACCCCTGCCCCTCTGGCAACCATCAGTTTTTTATCGATCTACAAGTCTGTTTCTATTCAATTTCGGTGCTATCAGCACATCAGCAGCTCTTTCAGGGGTACCCTCCCCCTTTGTTCTATGTATACAAATTATCGAAGTCTTGCTCCTGGGTCAATGATATTTTCTTGTGAAAGACAAATAAGATAATTCTAATAAGCTAATCTTCCACTGCAGAATGTTCTGTATTTTAAGGAGGAACTGTATTCTCAGTGTTGAGTCTTTTCATTGGCAGTGAGAATGCATGTTTCAAATTCTCCTGTAGAAAAAAGAAAGAAAAAAATCCCTTACATACCATGATGCCTATATGAATACAATTGAAAATGAAAAATACAACTGAAAGTGAAAAATCTGAAAACGATTTCTTATGGTACAGCTCTTAGTGGGTTTTCCTTGTGCTTTGTTTTTAACCTTAATGTCTTGGTCTGAACTTCCCTCAAGTTGTTGGAAGATTCAGGCCGTGGACCTTAGGCACTTGAAGCTGAGAACTGTGCCTGTCACTGGTGCCTGACACGTCAGCAGGAGAAGGGAGGATCATTTACCTTTAAAGTTTAAAGTAGTTTCATCATTCTTAGGCTGTTTTATTACCCATCATATAGAAAATAAATATTATGGCTTTTCTATGCCAATTCTGGAATGAATGAATAATTAGAGATTAACAGGAATGTTTTCAAATTTAACCCTGGCAAAGAGTAGCTCTCCGTTTTCATTCTGAAATAGTTTCAAAAATGAATATGACTTAAACAGGGCTTAATAATTTACAAAGTTCTTCCACATCTCTTTATTAAAATTTTTAACATAGTTTTATTGATTTCAGAGAGAAGAAGGGAGAGGGAGAGAGAGAGATAGAAACATCAGTGATGAGAGAGTCATTGATCAGCTGCCTCCTGCAGCCCCCACTGGGGATCGAGCCCCAAACCCGGGCATGTGCCCTCACCGGGAATTGAACCGTGACCTCCTGGTTCATAGGTAGATACTCAACCACTCAGCCACGCTGGCCAGGCTCTTCCACATCTTATATCAGTTCATTTCCTTAATGAACAAAGGAAGTAGGTGAGATTGTATCATCATCATCGTCATCATTCCCATTTCATGGAAGAGAAAAGAGAGGTTCAGAGGTAAGTATATTGCTCACAGTCACATAGTTGAATTTTACAAGAAAGGATTCAAATCCCAGCCTTCTGACTCTTTCCACTGTACAATGTTGTTCGTTTATCAGACCCCAGAACATCTGAATGCAATTACCCAAAGTCAGAAATGTCCAGTGTGGCTTTTTTCGTAACTCATTAATACTTGGAGAAGTACCACATTCCTGGACACCAAAACAGGAATTTTTTTAAAAAAGGTTAACTTATGTCAAGTATTTCCATTGATGTTGATTTGCATTTTTGTGACTCATTTTCCAAACCATGTCATCTTTTTACATCTGGAAAGCCTAAGAAGAACAGCTATGAAAGGCATCTAACTGCATGGAATCAAGGAAATGACAGAAATCCCATCCCTGGTTTCAATTCTGCAGAACTGTTACTAGCAGTAGATGCTGACCTTTAATTCGGAGTTCCTAGAATCCCCAAACAGGAATATAAATATAAAAAATAAGTGTCAAGGCAATACAAAATACTAAGATTGATGGGAAATAAAATACAAGCATATGAGAGAAATTTCCACTAAGGTAGACAGGGCAGAACCTATTCAGGCTTCACCTCTTGAAACACACAATCTGAGAAGTTAAGGAGTAACTTCACACTCCTTTCATCTGTGTCCTGAACTAGAGGACCAGCGACTGTGCCAGTGGATTAGAAAACTTGCCAGTTGTCCCTGATTACAGGCGCTTCTCCATGGATGCCTAAAGTACTGTACCTCATGTTTGTATATTTATTCAGAAAAGGTAACTGGATAAATGGAAGATGTGAGAGATGTAAACTTTAATTGCTGTCAATGCCCCGAAAGGAATTTTTAAAGAATTTTCTCAATTCAGCACCAGAGAGAATGAAGCAATGGGGATAGGATATTTTATATAAATAGAGCAAAGAGGCCCAGAAGATGGAAGAAACTGCTGAAAAACTGGGTTTGGAATGCAAATCATGCACCAGCATGCCCTCTAGCTGAGGACAAATCTCATTAGCAGATTTGTGTTTATCTGAGAAGTGGTGCTAAGAGCAACCAATTTATTATTAAGTTTGGATAGACTTTACCTAGTTAGAAGATAAAGAGATAGAAACAAAACTAAATAAATAAGGGCTATAGTAAATTTATTCAAAACAAGGGGAAGGAAATGTTATTCTCAAGGGTCAAGGATAAGTTTGTCTGAGAAAACAATTAACCGTGGGATTCAGAAGAATATTTCATAAAACCTGACTTTGTCATTAGAAAGCAATAAAGCATAGCTCTTTAGAGACAGGGTACTATAAAGAAAACTACTAAAATATTAAAACTAAGTACAGAAGAAAACGAAACAAGATATAAACGAATATGGGTAATATAAGAAGAACAGCTCCTCGTGGAGCCCTGCTTTTGGTCAAAGGCCCCCATTTACGGAACCTTTTCTAATATTGGGCTTCAATTGGTGATCATGTAAGAGGTCATGGGTAAAAGGTCACCTGGCATTTAAATCCATAAACCTGATGTTATCAGTCTCTAGAACTAATGTATGGGATCATTTAGTCAGAAATGTAAAAGAGAATAGAACTACTATATGAATTTAAGATTACTTATTAGCCCTTTCAATCACAGTCTCATTTGTTCTTATATATGAATAATAATAGTGCCAGTAGGGTCTTCTAGAATACACGGAAATGATAACTTCAGTAGCAATAACTACAAGTTACTGGTCTACACTTTTCTAGGCCCTGACTAGGCAATTTTTTTGCACAATATTATTAATCTTCCCCCAGACAAAGAAGGAAAAATGTATCAACCAAGGACGAGAATTCTTATTTCCCAAGCACAGCACCAGTGAAAGGTTTGTTCCAGCCTATTAATTATTTAAATAGTTATTATCTATGTTTGTCCTTCTTGTTTAAAATGAAAACTGCTGATCTAAGCTTATCTGTGTAACATCTTGTAGCAATACAGAGAGTGCGCTCTGGGCCTTTTTTAGCTGAGGAGAAAGAGGGTGAATCTTACTATGAGCCTATGAGTCGGGCAGCATGCCAGTCATTGTAATATACATTATCTCATTTAATTATGACAACAAACTTGTAAAATAGGTATTTTTCCTTCCCTTTATAAATGAAAAGACCAGGTCACTAAATTAATAAACTGCAGGGCTCAGGATATGATCCCAGTGTCTGATTCCAGGACCTAGAATGTAAATTAAGCCCTATATTCTTTCCATGATGCTGTTTAGAAAGTGATTTATATGTCATACCTCATTTCATTTTTCCACATGCCCACTAAGTAGGCAAGAATAAATGATATGATGCTGATTTTATAGACTGAGCGTTTGTAGAACTGAGGATAAGAGCCAAGCCTCAGGTAATCCAAAGAGTCAATGGATTTTTACAATCCCCCCGACCCCTGCAAAAGTATGAGTGATCTGGAAAGCCTGCTGTTTTCAGCTATGACTGCCCTGTTGTAGTAAGCTGAAAAATTGCCCTTTCTTCGAAAAAATAAATTCACTTCCTAATCCCTGGAGCATGTGACTATTACCTCGTTGGGCAAAAGATTGAATATTACCTTATGTGGCAAAAGATATGATTATGTTAAGGATATTGAGAGGCAAGAGTTTATCCTGGATTACCTGGAGGGGGGGCTAAATGCAATTACATGTATTCTTATAAAAGAGAGATGGAGGGAGATTTGAGACAGAATGCAGAAGACACATACACACAGAGAAGGTGATATGAAGATGGACCAGAGAGAGATGCTGCCACAAGCCAAGGGATATTGACAGTCATTAGAAACCAGAGGATGCGAGAACACATTCTCCCTTAGAGCCTCCAAAGGGAGCTCAGCCCTGCCAACACTTTGATTCCTGACTTCTGGACTACAGAGCTGTGAGAGAATACATTTCTGTTATTTTAATCCATCAAATTTGTGGTGATTAATATACCTGTTATAAACTGTTAATTAGGAGGAAATATACTCAATAGATACTTTTCCCAAATCCCTGAATGATGCTGGGAGGCAAAATAGTATGGTGATTATATATTTCTGGAATCATAAAAATATTGGTTTAAACCCAAACTCTATCATTTGTGATCTTCGGTAATATTTTTAATGCCTCTAAGTATTCTTTTCCTTATTTAAAGGAATTGGAAGTTTAATAATATCTACCAAATAGAATTATTTGAAGAATTAAATGAGGTAATAACAGTAATGTAAAGTACTTAGCACAACACTGAGCACATGATAAAAATCTAGTAAAGGCTAATAGTAAGAAAAAGAAGAACCTAAGGGACATATAAAAAGTAATGCAACTTTCTTGCAATGTATAAGAAAAGTTATTGGAAAAAGTAGAAAAGGAAAAATAATAAGGAATGACTTTTCTGAAACCTTATTTAGATAATTTTGAGTTTGCTAACTTAACATTTACCATGAAAATAAATGGAAAAAAAATCCTAAACAAAATACTAGTAAATTCAATCCAGAAATATTTTTTAAAAAGATAATACACCATAAGCTTATGGTACTTATCCCAGTAATACAAAGTTGGTTTTATGTTCAACCAATGTAACATACCACATTAAAAGAATAAAAGATAAAGATAAATAAAAAGGAGCCTTAAAACTATATCACTAGATACAGTAGAAAAACAATTTGACAAAATTTACCACCCTTCATGATAAAATTCTTAGCAAACAGGAAAGAGAAGAAATTCTCAAGCTGATAGTCTCTTTGACAATAACAGTGTACTTAAAATTGTGAAATATTAAACCCTTTTTTCCTCTAAAATTTGAAACGAGAAAAGGATGTCTCCTCTAACGACATCTCTGCAGCAACTAAAAGGAAATAATGGCATAAAGATAAAACTAGAAGGAATAAAAGTGTTGTTTGGAAAAAACTATAACAAATTTAGCAAGGTTGTAGACTGCAATGCCAGTGTGAAAAGGGGTAGTTCTTTATAACAGAAGTGAAAAACTGGGGAACTTATACTACTTGACTAAGATTTACTATGAAACTCGGGTGATTAAGACAATGTGATATTAGTGTAAAAGGAGTTAGAGTCTAGAAATAACCTTCCACGTAAATAGCTCCAAACCAGACACAACCCAGTTGCCCATCGACAAGAGAATGGATAAACACATTACATTATGTGTACTGGTTTGCTAGGGCTGCCATAACAAAGTGCCACAAGTGAAGTGGCTTAGAACCCCAGACATTTATGGTCTCACTGTTCCGAGGCTAGAAGCCTGAAATCAAAGTGTCGGTAGGGCCATGCTCCCTCTGAAGACATTAGGGCAGGATCTGTTCCAGGTTTCCCCCTCGGTTTGTGGCAACATACCTGCAGTCTTCACATGGCGCTCTCTCTGTGTGTGTCTCTGTTTCAAAATTTCCCCTGTCTATGAGGACATCAGTCATATTGGATTAGGGGGCCCACCCCACTCTAGTATGACCTTATCTTAACTAATTACATCTACAGTGACCCTATTTCCAAACAAAGTCACATTCTGAGGTACTAGGGGTTAGGACTTCTACATATGAACTTTGGGGGGGATATAATTAAAATCACAACAATAGGTTTCTACCCCCATAAAGAAGCCTTCCGCTAACACATTAAATTGGAATTTATAGCCCCTAGAATGGAAAATATAAATTTCAGTATTTATCAAAACTTAGGGGAGAAGAAATCTATTATTTCTCCCAAAATAATACCCTTGTCTCCTCAAGGACAACTCCTATAGTTTTTAGCAAATCATCCCGGTTTGCATCTAAAGGGAGGCAGTGAGAAATGAGTACCTCATCAAGTGTTGCCTGCTCGGCTAGTTTGTTCCCCTTGATAAACACACATGACTGGTGGTCGGTAAGGAATTGTCTATCTTTCAGTTTTTTATTTGCAGACATTTACATGTGTTTCTCATTTTATGATA